CGAAATATTTAAATATGTTCACGGTTCGATTTAATATTTATATCATTTCGTTCGGAATAAAATCGTACATCCGATAGCACAATAATAAATCTTTCATACAGCAATTCTAACTTTTGAAAGCTTGGTTTTTCAAAGTGGTATCAAAAATATCAACAAGTTTTTTTTTTCTAATCAACATCAACATAAGGAACTTTGAAAAAGTTGTAGGAGCAAAGAGTATAAGATTCTCTATTCATTAATTTTAAGTAATATCCTACTAACACCGGTTTTAATGATCAAAGACTTTATTCACATTAATAAATTCAAGCAGGAAATAAGAAATCACAGTTGAATGGTTGAGTAGACATGAATCTATTGAATTTAGCGTTGACGAAGTTTAATTAATTTGAAAACTAAAGTCGAACGCTTTGTGCAGCGTAACATTGTCTTCCTTTTAGCATCATAAACAAAACTTTCTAGAGCTAGAAAGTAATAGAGAAAAAGCACCAGCATGGTATGCATATCATTGTAACACATCCGTCAGAATTTTTCAAATGAGAAATTTTTGTTATTACTATAGAGATTTTCTCTCTAGTTTACATAATCATATATATCATCTTTCATTCATCAGATAATCTAAAACAGATGGAATCAAGCTTACGCATACTGATTATTAGATATCAGTGGCATCGGTCTAAACCTGATGATTACAAAAATGAAACGTGTTGAAGTGTATTTTCATCAGTTAGACTTTGACCGTCATAGATCAAGTAGAAAATTGTGTATAAATATGAAATAAATAGCTTCCTGTTGACAGAAAAATAAAATTATTCATTCATGCAAATATATAGCTTTTAAGAAAATGTTTAATAAAAATGAGAAGCATGACAGTAGTTATTTTGAATGATAATGTAGTGAATAGTCATGACATCTGTTTGTCATGAAAGCAAACTAGACATTTATTACATTTGAAAACAATTTATAATATCAGCTGGATGTAATTATGGAACTATCAAGGACACAAAAAGAACATTGAAACAAATATGACTGTATATAGATAATTGATATTACATATTGAAAAATTTCTTTGTCATGTTTCATTCTAGGTTCTTTTGTTCCTGATGTACACGAGTAATGGTTAATCTTTTAGCTAATACCATCGAGAGTTTTTTTCTTTAAAATTAAAATTAATTCTATGAAATTCTATTAATCAATGCATTTGAAGAGTACTTTACTATTATCGTACTTATTCTATCGAATGAATGATAATAAAAAAAAACTTTCATTGAAACATATTTTCATACACTGAGATTATTCCATTAATTAGAATCAATCGAATGAAAAACAAACACATAAAAGTACTTAGACAACTAATTCTGATATTTTATATCTGATAATTAGATTAATATATGAAAATAACATATACAAAATGTTAGAAAATATGATAAATGCTAAAAGTTATTATCATGTAATTTATTATAGATTATACTTGAAAAAATAACGATAACATGCCAAGAAAAAACCAAAGAAAATCTTCTTACAAAAATAAATGTTGACGATGATGATGATGATTTATCTTCGGATAATGAAGCATTACAAATTATTTTTACAATTGCATCATTATTAATAACTCATTATGATCAAGTAAATTTTTAGATTTTCTCATAAGTATATATATATTGTTTTTCAATTTTTTTTCTTTTTAAGTTATCATTTGAAAATAAACAAATTCTTGCATCATTTTATTCATCATTAATATGGATTGAACAAAATTATCCGAATAATGAATTATGTCAATTAGCACATGAATTATCTATTGCATTTATAACATATGGTGCTGTAAAAGAAGAATCAACGAAAAAAAAATCAACATTATTAATTGAAGAACTTAATGATGAACGTGATTTACGTGAAGAAACATTTCAAAATGCTTTAACTTGTCTATATGATTCAAGTATACCAATACGTGCACATGGTTTAATTTTATTTCGACGTTTAATTGAACGAAATGATAATGAAACAATAAGTAAAATTCAAGATAATAATATGAAATTATTTCAACAATTTCAAGAACATTTACATGCTGATGATTCATATGAATATTTAGCAGCTATTAATGTGTTGAGTGCATTAGCTAATCAATTTACAGATAAAATATTACCATTACTTTGTCATGAATATATAAGTAAAAATAGAAAATTAGAAAATAAATTAAAAGTTGGAGAAATTTTAGTTAAAACATGTCATTCACTTGGTAAGATGATCATATTTTATTTAGAAAAATAATCATATTCATTTTCAAGAGAAATATCTCTTTGAAGATTTACATTTACTTTGATGTGAGAAAATGAAATGAGATATATATAGGTTTAGTTTTTTTTTCTTTCTTTTCAGATTATTATTTTCCAGATAACAGAGTAACATTAGATATTTCTTTTTGTTCTACTTTCAGACACTATTTCTTATTAATTGATCACATAAAAGAAAGAATGATAATAATATAGATACTAGAAATCTATTCTATATTTAACATTAGATAGATAGAGATTACAGAGAACTATTTGCATGTTTTTCTTTTCCCTGTTTGATGTTAGCTGACGAAGGTTTTTTAGTTCATAAATGCACTAAACAAATTATATGTGATTATGAAATGTCCTCAATATATATATACATTTGAATGAAATTGTCTATTCTCATACATTTAGATTTGTCCCTTCCCTCAAAGTCAATCTTGGGGTGTGTGCAAATAAATCACATGACATTGTCAGAATTTGTTGAAGTGGTAGTAAGGAAACTATGCTAAAATTTTCAGTCGTATATCATGATATTTTTTTAAAGAAGCTACTTAGCAAACAGCAATAGCTCATTTGACAACATGGAATTGTCTGCGGGCCTTCATTCTATAGATTTAGTTTATTTTTGAAACAGCACGCTAGATTGTAATATTTTACAGAGTTCTTTCGTTTTAAAATTCTTACTTTTGATGCGAAGAGAAAAAGAATGACAAGTTCAATATTGTACAAAGCTGTCAAAAAAAATACTTATCTATTTAAAGAAGTACTTTGACTCTGTCAGGTACTATAGTTTCACGTGTTCTTTTAAACAAACAACCAAAAAACAATTAGCTACAATTAAGTTTCTTCGAGATTGTCAAGCAGAACATGACGGAAGTCATCAAGAGTTTTGGCAAAAGAAAACGAGATGCTGAAGAAAAACAATATTATATCGTTGATGAAAGATTGTAGGTCACGCGATTTTTTTATGTACTCATCTCAATATCGATTTTCTGACAAAAATTAATTTTCTTTGAAGAAACATATCAGTTTACCTAGGACAATTCTTATCTTTCTGACATGTTTTTCTATTATGTATTATTTTCAAGGTGATATGTCAACAAAATATTCTTCTTTATTAATAAATACGTTTTTGAATGCATCAAAACAAACAGATGATGATATGTATCGAACAAGTGCATTATCAAATCTTGGACAATTATGTACTGTTCTAAAATATTCACTTTCAAAAGATCTTTCTGAAGTAAATATTGTTTCTGTTATATTAAAAAAATATTTTCATCGAATAATTCTTTTGTTTTTGTTGTTTTGTTTTGTTGATTAGATTTTAATTGCTTTGAAAAGTTATTTATCAATATCAGAATCTTCTAATGTTCGACGTGCATCAATTCTTGTCTGTGAACTTTTATGTAAATCACTTGAACAATCAACATGGTTAACTATACTTGGAAATGAATTACCATCATTTTATCAATTAATAAATTATCTTTATAAAAATGATAAAGATGATATTGTTTGTTTACATGCACAAATAGCACTTGAAGCATTAAATAAAATATGTCAGGATTATTTACAACCACCTGTTATTTTAGAAAAAAAAATTCGTATCTTATCATAAAACATTTTTTCATTTATATATGTTTATTTTGTTCATTTTTTTTTTTTTGTTATTATTACATAATAAAATCTAAAAAGCTGTTGTAGTACAATAGCCAAATGTATGAAAACGTCTGTGTGCTAAATAATGATTTTCAAAACCTAATAATTGTTTTAATGTTATACGAAATTGTGGTGATGCTATACCATAAAGAACAAAATTTAATGCATGATTGGAATATGACATTAATAATGTTATTGAATTATATAAACGATAACGATGTTCTTGATTAAGTTCTTGAAATATTTGACCAATAACAATAGGTGTTAATAATATAACAAAAACTAAATTTAATGTTAATAACATATATGAGACTTGTTTAGCACGTCGTGTTCCTTTACGTGTTTTTCCTTTAACTGCTATATGTACTGTTGTATGCCGTAATGAAAAAAATAGACGATAAGTTATTATGCCAGCACATATTGTCATTATAATAAATGGAATAAGTACATAAGATAAAAGATCAATTATATTATATGGTTTTTCAAAAAATTTAAAATAAGTTCGTGATGTATTATGTGTACATATAATAATGTCTTTAGATAATGATGTATTATGAATAAATGATTCAACTATAGTACGTTTTGAACCCATAAATAATAAAATATGACTATTGATTAATGAGATAACTATACACATGATGAAAAATATTCGATCGGCTGATTTTGGTCGAGATAATCGTTTATTTAATTGCATAACTGTACATGCAATGGCACGATCAATTGAAACAATGGTCAGTATCCATGATGATAATTGTGTTGTAACATAGGTTAAAAATGTATGAAATTTGCATAGAAATAAATTTTGTACTCTTATATCAAATGAAAAATAATCACGTAATATAATATATCCTAAACCTAAATAAAGTACAATTAAATCCACAATTGATAAATAAGCTAAATAACGAAATGTTGAATGTTTTCGTAATTGTTTTTGTTTAAAAACAATAAATGATAATGAATTTCCAATACTACCAACAAATAGACAAATAAGAGCGAATGGTTTTGTTATACGAGAATCATAAATATCATTTGGTGTCGCAAGTGTTTGTATTATTGATGTTGTCGATGATATACTAGTAGTTGTTGTATTCGTTATTGAACTTGAATGAATAAGATTTTCATGTTCAAAAGATTGTCTAATGATCGTAGAAGTTGAATGAGACCACATTAATGGTATTTTTATGATAGAAAAGGTATTCGTTTCTATAGGGAATAATAAATAACATTAGACAAGCATCGCTAAAAGCAAATTTAACTTTGATCTTATTACAAATTAATATTCTTATTATTTTCTTCTAAAAAAAATAAAGCAAATTTACAGCACGAAAGAAAAAAAAGAACCTAACGAACTCATCATCTATAGAATTTCTTATAATTTAATAGACAGTACTTAATTGATTAATATTATTATACCTATATAACTAAAGCATGTTTATATATAAATATACATCTGTGTCATTTTATGAACTTACGATGTTTGTGTAGATGTAAAGGTTTACAGTATGGGTATAAGAAAAAAAAAAAAAAGAGCGAATGCCTCTTGTTTTCTTCTTAACTATTACTACTACACACTTTTCTCCGTGCCATCCATGATTTCCGCTCCATGACTCGTTTTCATTTCTTCTTCTCTCTCTCTCTCTTTTTCAGTCTCTTTGTCTCTCTCTTGTGCTCTTTCTGCTTCTGCCTTTTTTTCAGCAAAATATTACTGGTATTATTCAGTGATGACAGACAGGTTCGAGATGTATATACAAGTCTATATATTCATCTGGTTCCAATATTTATTGTCGTTCTAGTCATTGACCTTTTCTTTTTCGGTCGACTTTCTTTTTCCTTCTATGCGTTGATTGATGTAGCCGTTTTATTCTTTTATTGAACAATGCACGTTCGTTCGCATTCGTTACTCAAAATAATCATCATTACATTTTATATAAATACAATAGAAAAGCCGTCAGTTTTCTATTGACACTTGCATGCTGCGTGCTTGATGTCATCATTCTCGTCGTTTCTATTTAGTTTTGGTTTTTGTAATAAATGTAAACAATTTCAAAATGAAATTAAGACGCATCTTGTAGTATTGTTATTGTTTATTGCATGTTGCTAATGTCGCGAACTCGAAATCTAATCTATATATCAATAGTATTTCATGAAAGGGCATCAGGATTATTATTTTTCAACAGAAAACAAAAGTAGAATACTTATCTCGTAAAAGAATAACAACATCAACCGAAACGTGACGGTTGATTATATACATATCAAATGACAACTATCATCGACTATGCTATCAAACGTCGTACAAGGAAACATAGCTAATTATAAATGTGATTGACAAAAAAAAAGAAAAAGAAAAAAAATTTCTTGTTTAATCCTTATTATATTATAGAAGAATGAATAGATCCAAAGAAAACAACTTATTTAATATGATGTTTTATTTTTAAGAATAATAGAATGCAAATAAAACAAGAGCACTTGACCTTACTCTTATTATATCAACATGATTGGTTTTGATCACAGAATAAACTTGTGTGAATAATATTCGGTTTCCATCATATGCACGAAAGTAATTTATTCATTGAAAAAAGAAAAGACTAAAAAGAAAATACTCAGACCAATATACTTACACAAATAGGCAATAGCAGATGGGCACAAAGGGAGAACCTAAATATGTTTTTCCTTGCTCGTTTTTTTTTTCTCGCTCTCTCTCTCTTTCTTAAAACTAAGATGTTATGTCGTCTAGCTTTTTATTAGCAGAAAATCTATAGGTCCATAACATCTCAGAAAAAAGTGTCAGTGATGAATGAGTTAGTCGATTAAATATAAGCTCCTGTTTGGTAATATATTTTCTTCTGCATTGAAATTAGTTCTGTTTATCGATTAATTACCATTTAGTAGTGATAATAGTTCGATAATCGTATAGGATAACAAAAATATTTTTAAGAAAAATAAACGTAAGAATTTGTAAAATATTTAGCTGAGATAACATTTTTCAAGATTTATCATATCATAGTTAATATATGACAGCTTCCTATATATGATAGTATTATATAGATGTCAGATGTTGTTGATGAACATTGTGCGTGGATTCTCTTTTTCTTATAGTGGTAAAAGAAAAAATTTGATTTGTTAAACATGAAAATCAATCATTAATAAGTCAGAACGAATAGAACAAGAATATAAAAAGAAGGAAACAATAAATAAAGAATGAATATACTCAATAGGATGCTTTTATATTGTTTGTGTATATATCAGTTTAGAATAATAATGAATAAAATTTAATTAATAATGTTATTGGAATCAAATCATATCAATATACTTTTATCATTTATACGTTCGATATCAAAATCGAATGATCCTGATCAATTATTATCCTATAATAAAGTAATAAAAAAAAAGAGATAATTCATTAATAATCTTTTGTGTTTCTTTTTTTTTCGTTTTAGCGTGCATCTATTTTACTTAATTTATTATTAAAACAAGTGCGTGATCATATACAATTAGATCATCGACTTAGAATTGATCAACGTCTAGAAAATATTATTATTTCATTAGCTTATTTAGCTGTTGAACTTACAGATGCATGCAAAGTATAAATTTTTTTTTTTGTTTTTTATTAAAATAAAAATTAGTATTTTATTATTTAATTTTTAAAGATTCGAGCAGAAATTGTACAAGTTTTAATTGATTTTTATGAAAAAATACCTACGGCTAAATATTATGAAACAGCTTCATTTAATTATAAACATAGTAAATCGAATTTTGAAAATAAGATTAATATAATGTTTTAATTCTTTTTTTTTGTCTTTTGTAATAGCTTTACCACCAGCTGAAGTATTCGGTTTTTGTATTCATACAGCTTTAACTGAATTAGCATCAACTTCAGAAGATTTACAAATGAGAGATAAAGTAAAAAATATAAATTAAATATATATATATTTTTTTTTCTTTTGATGAATTATGACTAACCGATTTTTTTTTTTTTTCTTAGATAATGTCTCTTGTTGCTGATATTATTCGACAAATAGTTGAAAGTTTACGTAAAGCAGCACATGAACATTCGAAAGGTAAATTTTGTTTTGAAAAGAAAATATTTAGTTTTATATTATTATAATTTTTAGAGAGATATCGATCAATTTATCGATTTGAAGTACCATTTTTATTTGGAACTCTTCGATCAATCGGACGGTAAGTTCCATTTAAGAAAAGTTTTAAATGTAATCTATTGAAAGTTCTTCTTTACATACTTATAGAATGAATAGATTAAATAATACAACCTGATTGATTGAGAAGAATAGATAAAACTCTCACTTATATCCTTTTGAGACTTTTCGAATTCCAATGAGACTTAAAAAAAAGAAAGAAATGATATATACCGATAATGAATGATCTTCCTATCAAACATTCGACATTATTTATTCCTCCTACGTTATATAGAATTCCTAATTTCTATTACACATTGCAAACTATTTTATCTATTCGTAAACAAATACTTTATAAACAAAAAAAAAAGAAGAATTCTTTTTTTCTGATATATAGAATATCAATAACAGATCAAAGTTTGATGTCACAATTGTTTCCAATAAATTTCATTTCTTCTACTCAATCAACTTATATTGAACAAATAGAATCAATAAATACATCAACATCAAATATAAAAACTCCTACAATAGTATTTCGTCCAATAATTCCAAAAGTTTTAACAAAAAATGTTTTATCATCAACAATTGATAATTTACAAAATTTGTTACATTCCAATACAAATTTAATTTTATCAACTAATGATCAACAAGATTCTTCTACTAGTTATAATCATCTTATATCAATATATCGATCACTTTCGTAAGTTTTGTTATTCTTATTTTAAGTATAATAAGTTTCATCTATTGATCTATTCAATATTTAAACAAAATTCTTCGTCATAAATTCCCAAGAGAAAAATGTCGTATAGAATCAATTTTTTTTTAATCATATCCTATGAAGAAGAAAAATGGGCTCTTTAAAATAATATAATTACTATTCGATTATGTTTGCTTTTATGATTACAATTTGTTTTACTGATTGTCTTCGACGTTTTTTTTTTTTCACAATAATCAATACTTTTTTTTATTTGTAATATTTAAAATCGATTGAGTTGTAATAGATATGATAATTGAAATTTTTTTATTTAATCTCATAGCATGGTAAAAAAACAACAGAATCAATCAGGGAGTTTGCTGCTTTGAAAAAAAAAAAATCTTGCCATTGTTGCTAATTGTATGTTCACTGCTATTAAGTGAAGGTGGGCTTTGTCGTAACAAATCGCTCATGTATACACATATATATATTGATTTGATTTAATTCTTTTAAATAACTAAAAACTCATATTCATCTTTCGATTCATCAGAAGAAATGTATGTTTTTTTCTTCCTGTAAACTCCATTTGTCCATGTGTTAATAGCATTTGTTTTATTTATAGTAGTGAAATGTCAATAAGTATTCGACACAGACGGATATGAGATTATATCCGAATCGATTAGCAAATATGTCGTGTACGTTTGATTTAATTATAATGTATTAATAAGAATGTCGAAGTTTTTTTAAAAGCGAAAACTTGGTCGATATGAATATAAATCGAGAAATTAATAATAATAGAAAATTTAAAAAAAAGATATCAATTTTGAATTTTATGAGTAATTCTATTTTGTTTTATAGTAACATCATGTAAAATATCAGTGATTATCTATTACTTTCTTAGAAATTATTACTTTTAAGAGACAGAAAAAGAATTTGTAATACTATTTCATATTAAAGCTAATTTTAGTGGAAATTAACGCTCTAAATATTATAACTTAATCAGCTATTTCAAGCAAGCTTTAATATCTAATAATAAACTTGTTGACACTTTGTTTTTAGATGAAATATTAAGTTTAACTGTGTGACCTAATTATGTAGGTTATATTTAAGCCTTCAAGTATTGAATTATTCTTAAAAAATAAAAATCTCTTATTCCTCTTCAAACTCACTACCAGATTATAAATTCATTATATGTGTAGTAATTCTAATCTTAGATTTTTGAGTTAAATATAGTCATGCTTCATGAATAACAAATATTACAAGAATATAGGATAAGCCGAAATAGATCACGTTGTCATATGAACAAAATAAGAAAGAAACAGCTTTATATATTTATAAAAACATAAATCAATCGGAGGCAAGTAATTTAATCAAAACATCCTTATAGGACATATCAAAGAAAACAGAAACTAGAACTCATGACGTCAGTGTTTGACAGCAGAATGATAGAGAAAAAAGATACGTATGCATTGAATATGATCGACTTGTGATCTTTATGACTTCATATGTCAAAATATATAGACAATAATATTCATGAAATATGATCATTTCATTAAGATTTTTCTTACAAGTATCATTCGTGAATAATTACCGTTACACGAGACACTATTTTGTTTAATTAGTTCTTTTTCAAAAAAAGATATTAGACTAATTCATATTCTAACGTATTGAATTATATAATGATTGTTTCAAATCTTAAGAAATATCTAGAAGATGTCCAGGATTGTGATTGACTCGAAGATTGTTTACTAAAGTTTACCGGATTTTCACACTGGTTGAGTACTTTTGAGAATTATCGCTGGAGATGATGAATAATCATCAGTGAATGAAGCCAATATTCGCTACATAATTTTTTTTGCATTTCATTCCATTAAATAATCAATTGATTATATTTAATGAAACTATTCCGGAGGATGTGAAAATTCGTATCGTTTGTACTCAAACTGTTTAAATTTCTTTTTCTTGATTCAATTTTTCCAATAGAATTAATTTTAATTTTAAAAATAAATTCTAATTCATATTGTGCATATATCACAGAAATATGTGCTTTTTTTTTCGTGATTTTTAGTAGACTAATAACGTCTTGCATCTATTTTCTTTGATGTCGATTCAACTTAGTCGTCTACGCTGATGCCTTTAGTTTTGTCTCATGATCAATTTATCGACTAATTTTCGTAGTCCCAATGTAAAACAACCTTCTCTATTTATCTGAATAATGCTTTTTTTTTAAAGCTCATTGTTTTAAATATGAATGCCATACTTTCATTAAATGAATAAAATTTGTTTTTTATTCTTTTCTAGTTCGGTAGATAGTAATGATCTTCCGATGTTTGATGATGATTTTCCAGCAAATTATTTATTTTTTTCCGTCAGTGGTTCAACCTATCGTCGTCAAATGAATTCTTCATCTTATATAAATTCTGATCGATTTCGTGTTTGTCTTACTGTACCTATATTAGAATATTTACATGAAGTAAAATTTTAATTTTCGTTTTTAAATTTTAATTTATTTAAATAAAATAAATTTTTAAATTTTATAGACTTTAAAATTAATTGATAATCGTGTTGTTAAGTATTTGGATAAAGTAGCTTTAATTGAATATGATTCCATGAATCGAACAAATATGTGTACAAAAAGTGTATGTATTTTATGTCAAAAATAAAAAGAATATTTTTTTTTTCTTATTTCTTTTTTCAAAATATTTAGTCAAAACTTCCAATACGTCATTTTCCTTACACGTATTTTGGTGATATACTTATTTTATGTATTATAAAATTGTTTCGTGATAATCTTGAATTACTTGCAAGGTTTAATGGTAAGTTTAAAAATAGATTTTGTTTTTGTAAGTTAGTGTTTTTCTTGTTTAATAACAGAGAATAGTAAATTTATTTAGAGCGAAGAAAAAAACGTCGTATCGGTAGGTTTTCTTGAATGCAGCTAATGTAGAATTAAAATTTCAATACTAATCTTCTAAGCAATAACAAAAAAATTATTTATTCAAAATTTAACATTTTGTTTTTTTTTAAAATTTTTTTAGAACGATTATCATCAATAACAAAATCCACTTATTTATTTGTACAACAATTAATAGCATTAAAATTATTGGATTTAGATAATGATGAATATGAAAAAAATTCACATCGTTATCGAACACGTGTTGATGCAAATGCAGCAGCACTGGAATTACTTTGTTTATCATGTGATGATGAAATAGGTAAAAAGAAAACAAGATTAAAATTATTTTTAAAATATTCGATAAATCCGCTCTGTCTCTTTTGCACATAATCTAAAGTATATATATATATATATGTCCTGCCTATGGTTATTCTTAGGTCTTCCGAGACAAAATAAAAAAATGTTCAGTACGTATATTCGCACCGTATTATTTCATAATTATTCTTCTTCATTCTGATGCTTTATTCTCTTAAGCGAACAATGTATTTTCTAGTGAATTCTTTTCTTTATACCAGAGATACATTCGGTGATGGCTATTGTGCAAATATTTTTATATATGTATCACGGGTTTCTGATTCACAGGGTGCAAAATAATATTAATTAGAGAGTAAACTTTGGAAAGTGATTGAAAAACTTCGGATATTCAAAGACTTCTAGAAACCGGAATAAATAAAAGATTACGAATGTTTCCATGAGATGGACTTAAACAACGCTAAAGAAAATCTTTAATATCATCCATCGGTTAATTTTGGGAGCGGTCAAGAATTTTTCTTGTTTTTTTAAAGCAGTTTTTCAATTAAGTTAATAAAACACAAAAAGAAAAATAACTTAAAATTTTATTATAAACCACTTACTCAAATTATGTTATTAAAAATATTCAGGTGTGAGCTAAAACATTTTAATCATTTCTCATCACTTATTCGTTCATTTTCATTGGTTTCTTTCTGTTTTTTTTTGTTTTATACATAATGAGTGTGATGCTTACATAATACGATACTTTAATAATCCACTCTTAACTACCGTATGTAACTGATGGAAATTTCAAAAACAAATCGATTTACTCAATAAAGAGTTTTATTCCAGAGAAAAGTTGTTGAGCTCAATTATCTTTAGAATACTATTCAAAACAAAACACAGAGATGTGAATTCCAAAATTGTAACTTAATTTTTCAAGTTTTGTAGAAAATTTTTTGAACGGTGATAAATCTGTGAAAAAAAACTTCTATTTCTTCGACCTATCTTTCACAATGTTTAGCTATTTTGGATGAATACGAAAATTAAAAACACCGGATTTGATTGAGAAAGATGAGCATATCTGGGTATTAAAAACGACTGATATACTTATAGGTCAAGCAAATCTATAGATCATTAAATTTACTATGTAGTCACTCGAAGCAGTAACTTACAGCATGTACATATATGACGAAATGAGTATGGTGCACTTTTGAAATTCACATCTGTATGTATAGAATGATTATTTATTAGGATTGATAGAGTCGAAGACTCCAGGAAAATTGTGTGAGAGAGAGTTTTCAGAAAAGCAAGACCTTCAAAATCGGCTTTCAGATTTCTATTCAAATCTTTTGAAAAAAGATTTTATTTAATGTTGCAAATGATTTTGAGCAAGATTACATGTTTCTGACTTCTTTATTGCACTGCATTCGACGTATGGAAGGCACCAAAGTAACAACCATGGTAAAAATATTGAAATTTTCAATAGAAAGAAGAGAAAGATACTTCTTGGGTTTTCTGTTAATTGAATGCAGTTCGATGGAGAAGTCTAATCTTGCTTAGAATCATTGACTATATTAAAGAAGGTCTTTTTCCAAAAGCTTCAAATGGAAGTCTTCGTTTTCTGTAGACTCTCAATCCAAACAATTTTATTGGAGTTTTAGGTCCACCAATCCTGAGAGAGAATCCTTTTATCTACTCAAATGTTTTCTGCAATCCTTGCTAGCTATTATTATAAAAAAGGAAGCTTAAAAATATAACTGCTCTCAACTTTAGTCCGTCACTATACTTGTTATGCTATTTCGAAGATAATTGACTTCTGAAAATTTACAATATCAGACTTTGATTGAGAACTAAATTCTCTATCTACTCAGCGCGACTGATTTCTAATCTCAATGAGCGTCAATTTCTATGACTATATGAAATTTCCGCCGGAATCTCCACACTAAAAATAAAAAGGACTATCGAAGTTTCGATTTACTATCTCAACAGTATTTGTCCGATCGAATATTATTCCAACAGAGACCAGTGCTTTGCTAATATCGAATAAATCTTCTTTTTTTAAATTTCCAACGGTTATATAAGATATTCATAAATGAATTATAAAGATGCCATAATATTCATTCGCCATTGTTCATATTATTTTTTTTTTCTTTAAATTTCTTATTTAGAAGCGGAAAAATTATGTACAAAATGTGCGGAAAAATTCAGTCAAGAATCATTAAGTATTAAATTATTAGCAGCACAAATACCATTATTAGTAACATCATTGGAGGTAAAACAAAAAGAAAAGAACTTTTTTCTTTTCTTTTTAATAAAATAAATTATAGGTATTAAGTCGATTAGCAGAAAAACATAAATCATTAGCAATATATACAATTCGTGCATTATGTGATTTTTTAACTGAACCATCACCAGTACTTTATAAATTATATCGACATACAAGTTTAAAAATTGATGGACAAGAACGTGCATTTTTTTTTAATGAACAAGCTAAATCTTCGAAAGAATATCGAGCATTTCAAGTATTTGAAAAATTACGTGATGCTGCAATTGAAGGACTTTGCAAGTTCGTTTCGATTTATTAAAAACTAAAAATAATTCTTTATTTTATTCTTTTTCTTGTTAATTAAACCAAATTTTAGATCATTATTTATTCGTTTGGATTCAGATCCAAAATGTGTTGAAGCATTACTTGTACAACTTTCAGCAAGACTTGCTTCGGGACATGTTAATGATAAGTAAGCATTTATAAAATATAGAATTACAAAGCTTTAGTATCGTTGTTTTAATGAAATAGAAAAAAATTATTATTTTAAAATTTTCGTATGCTTGTTTGTTTTATTTTGATAAATATTATTTATATAACGACAGGGACGCTTTTAGTTCACATTGGGTATTTAATATTGTATTGCTCGATGCAGCTGTTCCCAAACGCCGTTCATCAATACGAGACGGTGTTAACAAAGAAAAATATGAAAGTTTATTGTAAGTGAGAAAATTGAATGGAATACGTTGTTTTCCTATTCTACTAGATTTTCTCGGCTTGAATGTTTTTCCTTCTATATGTGTGCTGTGTAATATTAGTGAATGTTAGAGTTTGAATTGTGCTTTGTTTATCTTTTTCCTCAGATTGCACATATATGTACTTTTCGATTATGTTCGAAAAGTATTTTGATTTGCTTTTCAAAATATCACTTCTTTTTGACGTTATGTGATTTCGGTTATTCATCTTAAATAAATCCTATTCACGCAATAGTAGATATCTAGTCAAAAAGATTTTTCAGAAAAAGCAAAATGATCTTGCAGTTTTAACAGATGCTTTTTTTGCGATTTTAGAAGTCCTGAAATAATGCTGCATACAATAGTTTAGCCTTTTGATTACAAGATTTTCGCAAACATAAACGAAATTTTAGATTTTGTTTATAGAAGACTATAAACAGGTATATGCATCGAAGGAAAATTTTGATTTGCATTAGACTCTAATCAACACAATAACGCTATGGAACCGTTCGTGTAGCTCGATAAATAACCCTGTGGCTCCATATCATAATCTAGAACTAATACAACTGAATATCTAATATTCTGAAAGAGTAGAGTATCAGCAATTAATACAATTTTACAAAGTTATATTTGATTTCACAGAACTTTGAACAATTTTGAATGTAGAGAGTCTGCGAGTTTTCATATACTTTTCGATCAATAATTATTTATTGTCCATTTGATATATATTTATAGAGATATGATATAATGATGTTGTGATACGAAGAGTACAAGAGAAAGAAAACCCATTCTATGACTTAAGTAAGATAGAAAATTAAATTCATAACTATAGAGATAAAATTTTCAGCTCGAAGTCCTAAAAACTAAGCATATTTGAATGACATTCATTCATTTGTTATTGTTACTTTGAGATATGCTTATAGTCAGACTGCCTTCTTTTTATTGCTTATATGTATTGTCAATTTTTTATTTCAATGTAGAAATAATAAGGAAAAGCATACAATTTGCATAATAATCTTTCATCGTTGAAGTAACGAAATGACACAGTCTATTCTCAAATCACACGACTTGAAATCTATTTGAAAAAAACATAATAAAAATTAAACTTAAACATATTGTTTTTCTTTGTTTATTCATTTAGACAAACATCTTTGGTATGTCATAATACAATACTTACATTGGGTCATATGGCAATAGCATTAAAAGATGTTCAACATACACAACAATCAATTTTAGCTCGATTTCAACAACGTCTTGGTGATCCACCATCACCATTAGATATACTTATTATAAATCAAATTGGTTGTATGTTGATTTCAAGCCTTGTAAGGAATACTTTTGTTGTTAAAGAAACATAAATCTTGGTTTTGAAATAAAGAAAAAAGTGAAAAAGATTTTTTATTTATAGAATAATTCATCAAATTTATCAATAAAACAATCCTATATTCCATCGTTAAATTTATTTTTAATAAAACATTCACGTCGTCTACCATTTCTAATTAATAAATTTAAAATACCATTTATAAAATTAACTCAAACACCAGTTGAATTTATATTTGATCGAACAACGATGTTAAAAAGAAAAGATAAAAAAAATCTGAAAAAAATTTTCAATCATATTTCTTGTCTATCCAATGGGGTATTCATACAAAACAATAATAGCTAAAGTCTTTCATTTTTCTCTTTGCATTTTCGCTTTTTTGTTTTGATAGAAATAAATTTTCAAAAACAAAAGAAAATTATTGTTTTTGTTTTTGTTTTTTTTTAGCCACAAACAACTTATGAAGAAATTCTTGGACTTTTTACTGAAATAATTATTGATTCGACTTATTCTACATATGATAATATGAATACAAATACAGTAACAGGTCGACGTACAACTAAATATAAGTATGTTGACTAGAAATACAATCAAATTTCTTATCTTTTTATGAATTTAACCATTTATTCTTGGTTAAGTTAGTCTATTTACACAGTAGTTTTCAAAAATTTTCTTGATTACAGATGCAAAAGTAGCATTTTTTATGAAAAATTGTTTTCGTAGAATTATTTTATGTAAACTCATAAATAACATGATGTTCATGCTAAGAATTATATATTAGAACTAATAGTCAGTCAGAATGCATTCCGTGATCATTTTTAAATAATTTTTTATCGATAAAAGGTGAAAACTTGAAGCTTTCATCAGAAATGAGTGATTTCGAATCGAAATTAGAATTAATGATTCCATATTATAAAAAGAGAATGACAAATAACGATTTTGACACGATCCTAAAAATGAAAGACCTTATTTCAATCCTAAAAATAGCTGCCTATAAATCATGCTCACGAAGAATTTTCGGATTCAGTGACGAACATACTGAGAAAACTTTTGAAAGTACTTTCTATAACATTAATACCGTCAAAATTTTCAACCATTCATCAATAATTGTTGAATTTTTTGCAAAAACTTTGAAAATTTCACACAAATCTTTAATTTCTACACGAGTTTAGTCATTCGTATTATCATAGTAACAAGAGATCTAGAGCTACATGTGACTCATGATCACTTTGTAGACTTCTAATCTATTTATAATAGAATTGCCTACATATACTTGCAAGACTTCTCAAAATATACAAAATAAAAATATATATATTCTAAAATGCACATATGCTTTCGAAAACAAACGTCTATCAATGTGTCAGTATTTCATAATACTATAAAAGTCTTTGATTTTTTTTCTTTTCAAAGAAAAGGACAATATTAATATATAGAATTATTTTAGACAAGCATCAAATGCTGTTATTAATGCATTAGCTAATGTAGCTGCTAATATTCAAGGATCATTAGAATTAATAAATTTATTAACAAGTATTCTTGAATTATTTGTTCAACTTGGTTTAAGAGCAAAAGATGCAAGTGAAAAATCAACAAAAAATGCTCTTAAAGTAAAATTGCTTTTTTTAAACTTCAATTTGATATTTTATTATTTTGTTTTTTTCGTTAGGCATCAAATACTGCTGGTAGTCTTGGTGTATTAATACCTGTTATAGCTGTTGTTATGCGTCGTATATCAGTTATTGTTGAACCATCTGAACGTGTATTTCGTTTATTTCAACATTTTTGGTTTTATTGTGTTCTATTTGGTTTTGCTGATTCGGAACGTGGTTTATGGCCATCGGAATGGCATGATTGTGTTCGATTAATTGCTACAAAATCTCCAACATTAGTAGTTCAAAATGGTCCATATGTACCATTAAAATCTGCTATGCCATTAAAACCTGAACAAATTGCTAAAGTAAGTTATAAATAAAAAAGAAAATGAAACGATATATATTTTTTTTCAATTTGACATCTCCTTTTTTCCGAAAAATTTTCGTCATCTTTTATTTGAAAAATACACTTTTCCAAAATTTTCGAAAGAGCACTTCTTTCAATAGACAATCATTTTTCGAAATATTTAATTTGTCATCCGTTTTCTTTTCCACTATAGTACCTAGATGTATTGAAATTTTCATGCGATTTGAATACATCTGATTCAAGATGGATTTTTAGTAAAGCTTCGTAGTAGTATCGGGAAAGAAACAAAGAGAATTTCAGCTCTATTGAACTTTTTTGGTTAATAAAGCGGAGCGATCGAGATTTATCTGCCTTGAAAGTTTCAAATATTTCTGATGAACTATACTTTAGAAACTCCAGAAAGAGTAAAGGATTCTCTTAAAGATCGATTTAATTATTGAAAAATTTTTTTTTTTTCATTCTAGGAAGATAATAATGAATTAAAATCACAATTAAATAATATATTTTCTGCATATCCATCAGCTAAACCATTTATTGATAGATTTGGTTTTGAACAAAGTGCTTATACACTTTCAGTATATTATCTTGAAACATTCAGGTATGTGTGATTATTACAAAATAGCATTTCAAAATTATTATTTGTATTTTATTTTAGAGTTTGTCATTCACTTGTACCATCAGCCTTTCAATGTATATTTTCATATCTTGAAGATCCTGGTTTATTAAAAGATAAATATGGTATTAAGAAAGAATAAACATAATAATAAAAAACTTTTTTTTTTTTTTTTTGTTTCTTTTGTTAAAAGGTTTATGGACATTAATGACAGCTGTTGGAAGAAAAAGTTTTGAAATTTATGTTAATGAAATGAAAAAAATGGTAATATTAAAATTTCGAAAAAAAAAACTAAATATTTTCTATATTAATGTAAATTCTTAGCCAAAAAGTCCTGAACGAAATAAAAATCTTGAAGCTCAATGTCAATTTTTTATGGTTAAACGAACACATGTTCGAGCTGAAGTACGCGAAGAAGCCAAACTTTATCTTTATTCCTTATTATCAAAAAATGCGTATGTATTGTTATTTATATTTAACAAAACAAATGACACTAATCTTTGCCTTTTGTTTTCTTTCTAATAGATTTCCACATTTATTCTGTAATTCAGTCGTTATTGAAACATTAATGAATATTATTAATATATTATCTTATTCATTAAATGAAGATAATTTACATAAAGTAACTGCACATCATCGTGTACCAAATACAAATTATACAATACAATTTGCTGATACACATGAAAAACGATTGGTTTGTTTAGTTTAAAAAGAAAAAAAACATTTTTTTCATAAGATTATTTTTATGATTAAATAGGAACTTTTTAATGCATTTGTGGATTTTGGTCGAACATTTATTGAACAAGCATTAATGATGTCACCAACATTACTTAAATCATGTATTCAAGTAAGAATTAAAAAAGAGAAAACAAGGAAACAGAAGTTTTTGAAAAATAATTTTAGCAATATATGCTTAAACTTGAACAAGGAAGAAAGATTTCAAATGCAGCTGGACAACATAAAGGTTTACATGTGAGTTTTTTTTTCTCTTTTTGATGAATAATTTTTTAACAATTATTTATTTTAGGTTATGTGGGAATATTTAAGTACTTATTCAAAAGCAGCTGATGCAAATGTAAGTTTTGTAAAATACGATCTAATAGAAAGGAATAAAAATTGGGATCTCCCAAATAAAGTCAGATTCTATTATTTGAATTATTTTTGTATTGCATTTCTCAACGATTAAGTAACAAGATGGTGAAGAAATATGTTTGAAAATAGATAGAATAAAATAATCTCTCCTATGATTAGTAGCAGGAACTAAATTGTGTTTCACATTTTAATCCTGCAGGAATGTGCTAACAGTTTTTTTTTTTTTTTGTTTTTTAATAAATAAAAGGCAACAACTGGAGGAAATAAATTATATTATCGAACAGATTTTGCTGATTATATGGTATCATTAGGTGAACGATGTTCAGCAGTTGGTTTTGTAAGTGTAAAATGAAATGAATTTAAATAAGATATTTGATTATTGATTATATTAGGTTGAAGGACTTGATCGTAGTGATTATCGAACAGCAATAACTCAAGTAAAAGGACAAATGGAAACCGCTATTTATAATCGATTGAGTTCACTTAATAAATATAAATCATTACAACAACGCCGTCGTCGAATGTCAACTGTAGCACCTATTAGTGATAAAGGCATTGTACTTGATTTTGAAGAACGAATTGCAATATGTAAAAGAAATTTTTCTTTTATTTTTTAAATCTATACTCTTAAATATTGTTTGTTTTTTTTCGTTTAGTCGACAGTGATTTTCGAAATGGACTTTTCAAATTAACAGCAATGTTGATCCATAATGTTGATGATTCAGGTGAGAACTTATAATGAATTTTGCTTGTAATATATTTTGTGTAGTTAAGTAAAGACATCATTTTGAGCTATTCAGTTTTCTTTCAGGATCATTAGAATTTTCATTGGCAAGACAAGAAATTTCTAATCTCGAAAGAATCCTGTAATTCTTAGAAGCCAACTCCGATTCTTTTCCCTTATCGAATAGAATAATCTAGCAAGATTCTTTCATTTTATTCTCATGATTAATCTAAATCTATTATAATTTCTTTTACACAAGAAAATACAAAATCGTTTATTTCAATGTTACTCTCAAACAATGTAAAGTCTGAAATAGCACGAAAGAATATTTAATTAGGCACGATATAGCTAAAAATAGAGAAGAGTCTTTGTAGACTTCGATTTTATCGATAGAAAGAATATTGATTGAACTTCAATACACAAAAGAATTTGAAACTTTAAAATAGAGAATACTTATTTGAATATTTATATTCTAGAAGAAAATGAACATGAATTACGTTTTACAGCCATTGGTGCTATACCTAACGGAACTAGTATACAGAAAGGTAATTGTTAAAAGTATCTATTCAATAACTATATTTTTGTTTAAAGAAAATGCACTTGATCGAGATATGGTTCATGCAATGACATGGCTTCCAATAAAAATGTTTACAACATCAGTAATGGAAGGAGCAGTTGATTGTTGGTGTTGGGCAATAATAGGTCGACCTGAACTTGAATTATTAGTAAATATATTATCTTACGTTTTTTTTTTCTCTCTCAAATGATGAAATTGATTTAAGATTGTTGAAGAAATTTATAAAGTTTGGGAAAAAATAATAAGTGATCGACATGGTCTTTATTCAATTGATAAACCAGAACCATCACCACTTGCACCATCAGAAAAAGAAGAATTAAAACCTAAACCACCATCTGTAAATCCACATCGAATATTTTTAAAAGTAATTACATATTAATTTATATGTTTTTTTAACTTTGAGTTTTTTTTTTCTTTTAGTTTATTGAAGAACGTGTATTTTTATGTATGCATAAAGCTGATATTGAAATGGAAATGCTTGTTGATTTATTACATAAATCTCTTTCATTAATATTAGAAAATCCGAAAGCACCAATGACAAAACATATTGGAGCTGTTGGTCTTCGATTTCGTTTTTTATATTTAGCTTTATATCTTGTACAAAGTGATTATATATCTGATGGTGTTAGTAAATTTTTACTTCGAGAAAAAATTTATCATACAGCATTTGATTATTTTACGTAAGTAAACAATTGAAAAGAAATTTTTTTACTAATAATAATTTATTGACATTTTTCTAGTGTTCATCATCATTGTCCAACTCAAACACATAATGAATTAAGAAGTGATATTCGAACATTAATTCGATTTTTTTCATTAGTTCATGGTGAAAAGAAATTTTGTAATGATTCACCCGCAACAAGTATATTTGGTTTTTTTCTTGTTAAAACAAAATCATAAGGAAATTTTTTATTTATTTATTTTAGTTGATAGTAGTAATTCAATGCAGAATGGTCTTAGTAATGAAGCAACTGATGCCGCGTCATTATATGGTACAACAAGAGGTGGAGCAACAACTGGATGGATTAATGCATTAGCTGGTAGCACTGCTGGAGCTGTACAAGGTGTTAGTGGACAATCAACATTAAGTCGAAAATCTGGTAATAAAATAATAAATTATTAAAATTGAATTCGCTCTAAAAATTTGTTTTAATGAGTGAATATATTGTGCCCAAGATCTTTCACATCATAGATTAACTGCTAGATTCAAGGCTTAAACTATCGAGGAACCTACGTGAACTGATACTCGTCGTTTGAACTTTTTTAGAATTTTTCTAGTCTTGTCGAGATCTTCCTATGAATTGAATATGAGTTCAAACGGTGAATATCAGCTTAAATAGTTCCCTTGCAAGAAGAAAACATTCTTGAAATTATTTTTCGATGTCGATTGGTTTTGTTAATCGTTTTTGTTCTCGTTTTAGGTACATCAGCAAAAAATACTGATAAAAGTAATGATGTACGAATATTATCTCGAGATCTACTTAAAAAACGTAATCTTCTTTTAACATTACTTGTAAGTTAAATAAACCTTTAAAAAGAAAAACAATGAAAAAAAATCTGAATTATTAAGGCTTATGAAATTGAACGTTTGGAAACATTTCATAATCCATTGGGACGTACAGAACTTCAATTTGATCAAGATACACAATCAACATATACAAATTGGAAACTATATGATATGAATGGAATTACTAATAAAGCTTGGCAAGAATATGGACGTTTAGCTTGGTTTATTTCACCTGATTTAGCTATTAGTCTTTATTTTACGTAGGTTTATTTAAATTGTTAATGTTCGTTTTTTGAAAGCATTTTTATTTGATTTTAGTATTCCAAAAGAATCTTTACGTCTTGAAATTCAACGTCTAGTCAAATCATATCCATTACAAGTTCGTCATATACCAGAAGCACTTAGCATATTTACATTAACTTCCGATAATGATCGACAATGCGAAGTAATACATTTTAAAACACAAATATACATAATTCTTTTATTTTATTTATTATTTTAGACAACTCATATATTAACTTGGGCTTCAATTAATCCTGTTGCTGCACTATCCTATTTTGCTAGTGCACGTCTTAATCAAGTTGCTAATTCCTATACAATTCAATTTGCTTCACGAATGTTATATACAACAAAATCTGAAGCACTTATTTTATATATTCCTCAATTAGTACAAGCTGTTCGTTATGATGAAGTACATAAAAAAGAAATCATTATTTAAGATGCTAGAAATTATTTTCTATTTAGATGGGTTTTGTACGTCGTTTAATATTAGCATTATCAAAAAAATCAAATTTATTAGCACATCAACTTATATGGAATATTCGAACAAATACATATAAAAATGAAGATACACCTGATAATGAAATGCAAGCTAAATTAGAACCAATAGCTCGACAAATTGAAATTGATTTTACATATGATGCTAGAAATTTTTATGAACGTGTTTTTACTTTTTCGGATCGACTTACTAAAGTATCTGATACAATTAAGAGTTATCCAAAAGGAAATTCACGTAAAGAAGGTAAAATTAAATAAAATCAAAATAATCTAAGTCCATCGAGTTAGTTCAGATTTCAAAAAATAAAAAAATAAAGAGTATTTCACTCAAAAACTAGGTTTTAGGTGTTAAAATCCAATAAGAACCGGCTGGATTTCAGAAAAATCATAGCCTTTCATCACAGTTCATGACATTTTTCTTATAAGTGACCTCTCAATAAAACCTCTTTCGAACTTCAACGGGACCAAAAACATATAGTTCTTAACACAATTATACGAACTCCGAGTAATCTAATCTTTAATAACATATCTTCTCCTTCAACACGATGCTAATAGCGAGTATTAAAATATAATCCTTATCTTTCTATTACGAACAAATATTCTTATTTATGCTAAAAATAATAAAATCTTTTTCGTATGATATACTGACTGAATTTGTTTTTTTGCTTTTTCTAATTAGCTTGTCTACAAGAATTACGATCAATTGGTAGTGAAGTACCACCTGGTGTTTATCTACCATCAAATCCTGAAGCAACTGTTATTTCCTTAATACCAGAAAGTGGAGCACCAATGCAAAGGTAAATCATGTTAACTATACTATAACTATTAAAAACAAAAATTGTATTCTAGTGCGGCTAAAGCACCATATCGTGCAACATTTCGTGTCCAAACTGTTGGTATTGAACAAGTTGAACATTGTGCTGATCCTGATTATGAATTAATGCAAGATTTTAGTAATCAATATTCTCAAATGGCTATTTTTAAAGTTGGTGATGATGTTCGACAGGTACAATTATCTTGTGTTTGTTTTTCATTTACAAAAAAAAAACCTATTGTTTTATTTCAAAACAAAACAGGATATTTTGGCTTTACAATTAATGCGTCTTTTTCAAAATATATTTGAACAAGAAGGTTTAGAATTATATTTATATACATATCGTGTTATTGCTACAAGCCCTGGTGTAAGTATTTAATCTATTTACTTTTTTTTTCCAAATAAAAAAGAGAAAAAAAAATTATTTATAATAGTGTGGTGTTATTGAATGTGTACCTAATTCTCGTTCACGTGAAGATATTGGTAGAAATACAGAAGTTGGTTTATTTGAATATTTTCGACATGTTTATGGAAAAGAGGATTCAATTAAATTTCAAAAAGTAAAATAAAACAAAAGGAAAAATTTATGAAATCAATTTTTTTTTTTAAATATTTCAGGCACGTCGAAATTTTGTTATGAGTATGGCTGCATATTCAATAGCACTTTTTATGCTTCAAATAAAAGATCGTCATAATGGAAATATTATGTTTGTTTTTAAATGAAATTTTATAATATTTTATATAGATTTTTATTTATTTATTTAGGATTGATGATGAAGGACATATTATTCATATTGGTTCGTTTTTTATAATAATATGTTTATTCAATAAGTAATATCTTCTTTTTTCTCTTATATAGATTTTGGTTTTATGTTTGAGTCATCACCTGGTGGTAATATGCGCTTTGAGCCAGATATTAAATTAACTGCAGAAATGATTCTTATTATGGGTGATCTTACTGCTCCAGCTTTTCAATGGTTTAAAGAATTATGTATTAAAGGTTATTTAGCTTTAAGGTAAACATAAATTTTTCTCATGTAATGATTCAAACCTTCATAAGAAGATGTCGTCTCATGTATTAGAATTATTTAGAATGAGATGGATGAAAAACAATGTGAAGTAATCAAATAGTATGGTTAAAGTCAAATAAAGACTTATTCGATAATTTCAAAATATTGCAACCAGAACTGTTAAATCATACGATAGAAACAAAAATTTCAGTATATACATGTATAATATTGTTTTGTTCAAGTACTGATTCAATAGTGAAAACTTTTCCGAAATAGATTTAAGAATTTTCGTATCTATCTAATAATTTAATATTTTCGATTCCTCGTGATATTTTGAAAATCGAACCAGAATAATCAAAGTTTAGCTGCGAGTTCAAATCCACAAAAAAACGTGAAACTGTAGCATCACCCTAATACGAAAAAAGCTTACTCTGTACATGTTTAATTGATTGAAATATTATTTTTTTATTTTTAGACCATATCGTCATCATTTTGTAACTCTTGTTGCATTAATGCTTGATACTGGTTTGCCCTGTTTTCGTGGTCATACATTAGAACAATTAAATGCTCGTTTAAAACCTGATTCAAGTGAAGCTGAAGCAGCTCGTTATATGCATGAAGTAATTAATCGATGTGCACATAGTTTAAGAACACGTCTATATGATTATATTCAATATCAACAAAATTCAATACCTTATTAATAAAAATCAAGAAAATAGAAGAAATCTTTCTCTCTCTCTCTCTCTATTTATCTTTGTTTCAATTCTATTAACGGTGTTTGATGTTTTTTATTTTCTGTGCAATTTAGGTAATATCGCATTAATTTATATTCAATCGATCTCTGTATTTCTTTTTACATGAGCATAAAAATATTTTTGTGTGCGTGTGTGTGTGTGTTTAGAAAAAAGAAAGAGCGATACGTGCTCTCTTCCCTTCAACCCATTTGTTTCATGTGACTAGTCTCTTTTTTTTTTCATTTCTTTGTGTAACAACAATTTATTTTTATTTTCAATTTTTTTCTGTATATGGGTATACAAATGAAAAAGAAAAAAAAATAACAAACAAGCAGATGTGTATAAACATTCAATTGTCATATTCTTCTTCTGTTCTTTTTTTTATCGTAAATGATATTTATTTATGTTTGCATTTAGTTAGATCAAAATATGAATTTGTTTTAGATGGCTGATCCGGTTTATTTAGCTTTACTTGGATCAGCAGAATATTTTCGAACAAGTACACCACCTAATTATCGTTTAGCTATTCAATGTTTACAAGCTATTTTAACAATAAGATTACCAACATTAATTGAAGCAAAAATTCATTTATTTTTGGGACGATTATATACACAATATACAACAAATATTGATATGGCATCGATGCATCTTGATAAAGCTGTTTGTTTTTTTTTTTTTTTATTGAGTATCTATGATTATTAATGTGTATTGTTGTTTTTTCTTTAGTGTCATTTAGCTCAAATGCCGGATGATATAAAACTTGAAAGTCTTTGTTTATTAGCAAAAATTTATTTAAATCAAAATCAATTTGCATCATCAATAACATTACTTCAACAAGCATATGATCTTTCATCTCAACAACCATATTGGCATTGTAGAATTATATTTCAAATAATTGTAAAAATATATAAATTAAAATTCTTGATATTGACAATAGTTATTTTTTTTAATTTTATTTTTTAGAGTATTTATCATTCTCAAGAAGATTATAATACATCAATTTATTATGTTGATCGTGGAATAGAATTTTGTGCAAGAATTAATGCTTTATTTTGTCAAATTATTTTTCAACTTACAAAAGCAATGGTAATAGATTTAATTCAAATAAAGATTTTGGAAATTAACGGTTTGATTTTTTTTTTTTGTTTTAGTTACGATTATCATTGAAAGATTATATAGATGCACAAAATTTATTAAAACCATGTTTAGATAGAATTAATTCATTACAAGGAAATTTTTCACATATTGAAACATTAAGAATTTTTTATTTGGTTTTACATATTTCATGTTCTTGTTTTGGACTTGGTCAAGTATGTTATTTTACATAGAAATTATATGTATATTAAAATAAAAGATATTTTGTAATAATAGAAACAGTAGACAGAAAATAAATTACAATTTTTTATTTATCATGCGAGATTTTCAAATTATCTTTTAGAATTTTAGTTTGGTAAAAAAAAGAAGATAAGTTGTCTGTGTCTAGATGTTTATCTCTCTGATTGAATATTTTGTTCAATGATTGATACTTTCAAAACGACTTAATATATAGAATTCAGTAGGAATTGTGAGCTGAGGTTTCTTCATTCCATAAAATAGATTTTCAAAGATTTTCAAAAAAATTTATAAATGTTTTATACATAGATAAAATCATCAAAAAATGCATTGATGCAACTTCAACAAAGTATTCAAAATCTAGCAAGTCGTCCTGAAGAAGGTTATTTATTTCTTTATAAAAATCATAAATTATGTATATTTCTTTTTCATTTATTGTAGAAGCTTATTTAATTACAAATCCACTCGAACAGTTTATATGGTTATCTCGTGATCATTTAAATGTTCTTGTTTATTTAGTATGTTAATTGAATAAATAAAAATAAAAATAATAAACGTTTGGTTTTGTTTTAACTAATTTCTTTAGTTAACGGTTTTTCATTCAATGCTATCAGGTCGATTAGAAAAAGCTCTTAAATATGCTGATAAAGCTCAAGCACAAATAGAACAAATTAAAAATGTAGATCATAGTCCATTTTTAATGGCTGTTGAAATGCTATTTTATGAATGTCGCATACAAAGTCATTTAATATTTGGTAATAAAGCTGTAGCTATTAAAGAAGTAAGTTTTTTATTTTCATCTTTAAATATTTACTTGAAATGAAAACAAATATTTAATTAGATCAATATATTATGTCGTCTTCATAATACATCAAATTCGATTAATAATAGCAATGCTATTCAACGAACATTAACTCTTCATGCATTATTAGTAAATTTATCTGATAGAAATACGATGAGCAAAAAAAAAAGATTTTATTTTTATTTAGGGTTTCTATGCAACATCATTAAATTTTAATGAAGCAGCTGAAGCACAGGTAATTGAAACATATAATGGTTGATCGGAAAATTTTTATATCAGATGTCTGTTTACGTTTGATCCGATCGGAAGTGTTTTCAAACGAAGCAAATGCTATGAGTTATGTTACTCTTTTCGAATATGAGCTTAGTAATCGTGTCTCAGTGAAATAATCTTTGAAAAGTTTAGAAATTTTGTTTAGACGGAAAATTTTTGCATTTTCATTACTACAATGTGAAACTAAAAGTCCTACAAAACGTACTGTTTGAAGTTTCTTTTTTTTGGTTTTTTTTCTTTCTAAATACTCATTTTTGAAAAATTGACAAAATGTTTTACGTTGAAACGAGCTGTTAAGAAATGCTTAGGTAAAAGCAATGTCATCTGAAATGTTTTTTATCGTATCAAAAGTGAACAAATATAATCTCTAAAAATTTTCCGATCATCAGTTATTCAAAGTTCTTTTGTTTTTCTTTAGTTTGCAAGTGCTCTTCGAACACGAGTAAATTAATTCTTTTGATAATATAAATAAATTTCGAAAGTATTTATTTTTTCATATATAGTTTTCTGGCGATAAAGAATTTCGTTTTTTTATTTTTGCTAATCTTATTATTATTTATTTACGAACATCAAAAATAGCAAATCTAATACCGATATTACAACAAATTAATATTGAATTAAATACAACTCAGTAAAATAATATTTATTTTGAAAAAAAAAAAATACATGATATATTTTAATTATATAGATCCGCAATACTTCATGCTATTGGAAATTTATTAAATGGTCTTCATAATTTAACACAATCTCGTATACATGAAGCTAAGTAAGATATAAATAATTACAAAAAAAAAATCTATTTTCTTTTTGTCTTTAAATAGAGAACTCTTTCGACGTTCAGCTAATCTTGCCAGTAATGAAGATTTAAATAAAATTTTAACTAATACATTTATCGTTCTTGGTCATATGTTTTTTCGAATGCATAGTTATCAAGTAAAACAATAAATAAATCATTGATAATTTTTTCTCTCTATTTTGTTTTTTTTTTGTATATTATAGGAAAGTGCAAATATGCTTCAATCAGCAACAACAATAAGCCAATCAATTCCTGATTATAATGCACAATTGAATACAATGAGTTTACTTCGAGGTAAAAGAAAAGCACATAGAAATTTTTTTTTGTTTTTAAGATTTAGTTTCTTATGTTTAGATCTTTATCATGTGTGTAATGATCCTCGATTAGCTGAAACAAATGATCGAGTTATACAAATAAATGATAGCTTACAAAAAGATTATCAATCTGCAATAGCACTTGCTGAACATCGTCATCTTTTAACTGTAAGAAAAAGAAATTACATATACATTAAATATTTAGTTTTATACATCTTTTTTTCTAGTGGACTGATGGTGTTTGTCCGATGATAAGTTAATTTCAACATTATTATTATTGTTTTGTAAGAAACACTTAACATAGCTTTGTATATATATAAGTTTAATGTATTATGTATATGAATGTTGTTGCCAACAAATAGTCTTTGATATTAACGAATAAACGCATCTTACAAAAAAAAACAAAAAGAAATCTTGTTTATACAATACTCTATGAAAAAGATAAATATGAAACTTCAATGCTTTTTTTTCAGGCTTATAATCATATTCACTATTTTCAAAATGTCTCTTATAGTGGCGTAAGACCAAAAGGTTTTACTAGAGAAGGAAACTCATGTCCATCTCTAACCTCCTTAATGTATTGTGAAACTTTGATTTATCTTCTTGTTTCTTCTCGTAGTTAGACCCATTACTTCTATATTGTTTTTCTTGGATTTTCGATGAATAAACCAACAAAAAACTTGGTACATGCTGTCAAGGATAAACTAATAATTCTAGCAATGATAATATCATCTTATAGTGTTTCAACTTTTGCTCAAAACAGTCCTATATTAGTTTTGACTGATTTCCTGTTTCATTAAAATGAATTCTAGAAAAAACAATTGCTGATGAAAAATCCAGTAAGATAATATGCATAAATTATGTCAATAAAGTTAATTCAAAATCAGTTTCTATAGTGATCTTATTTTGTTTTTCTATATGAAGAAAACATGATTATGGATGCTGGAATAAAATTATGTACAATAAAATTTAAACTGTTTTCAAATCTTCTGTTGTAATGTCTAACGTATTCCTTGATCATTAGCTATTGTTGATGATGAAGCTGTTGTTGTTGTTGATGGTCCTATGCCATCAGTTGATCTATCAATTTTGGATTTTTCATTTCCCATATCACCACTAGCTCCACTAGTACCTAAAGCACTAGCTCCAGTTGTTGCTAAATGTTCTCCACTTGATCCAGTTGTTGCTCCAGTTAAACCAAACTCTTCTTTTGATTTGAGTTCACTATGTGATAATGTTGAGTTTTTATTGTCTGACATATTCTTGCCTGATGTAGTTGTAAAATGTTTAAATATTGTATGCCTACATAAAAGTATACTCTGTGCACTCTTTTTTTTGTCTTATTATTATTTTTTTCTTTCTATTCTTCACTTTCAACAAGAGAACGAATGAGAAGTACACAGAACTTATTGATTAACGAAAAATATTTTTTTTTTACTTGCATATTTTGCACTTTTGTTTGACTTGTTACATAATTAGAAGGACATCATCAATGATCATGATAGATTATGATTATAGTCTTTGCTTGTATCAATAAAGTATTCAGTATTCATTTTCAAAATGTTGCTTTTAAGTGAGCACGTATATTAAACTATTGCTAGTCAAAGTTTGATTGATAGAAATCGACCACGATTACAAGCCGGTCAATGTTATTTCGTTAAAAAAACGTTTGAGATTTTGTTTCGTCGAAAAACGTTCGTTTAACTATAATAGTGTTAATATATCTTTTTTTTCATATCCAAATAAAAAATTATTGAAATACAATTGTTTTGCGCATGAGATTTCATTTTTCTTTACTCTATTTCTTCTTTTGTCGTTTGCTTTTGCGTCTCTTTTTAAAGACTGTATTGACACTTATTTCTTGGCATAAGCAAGAGAAAATTGAAGAGAATATATTCCACGAATGCAAATGCATATTCTTTCTAGTAGTTTCTGAGGAGACGAGTTACTCAGACAATATATCGATTGCAATCTACCTCGGGATTCATGGTTATACACCTATTATGAAAATATTGCATCCGCCGACTACCAATTAAGAGGATATATAATGGAAATTTATTGTATAATAAAATATAAAGAATAGTGACCAAGATGTTTCTAGAAAATGAAATCTTTAGCTTTTCAGCGACTACAACTCAGGTATAAAGTTTGCTCTCGTTACATTTAATAGTAGAGCGAACAACAGTCTGCAAAATGAGACCTCTCTTCACAAAGGTCATAGCTGTGACTAAACCATTATCACAAGCAAGAGTATGCCTGATTGATCGATTCATACTGTTGATAAATCGGAGACACCAGTACTCTATTTCAATGGTTATTTCATCAGTGATACTGTCTAGAATCACTATGTGAGATAAAGATTAATTAAAACTTCATAGAAATTCGAAATGGGCTCTATTCATCTACATATAATTTGCTTTCTTTAACTATTTTATATCAGTGTCTGACGCAAAGTATTCTTGACTGATAAATGCTTTTAATAAACATCAATAATTGTTATTGGATTCAGATCAACGCGGTATCAGAAATATTTATTAAAGATTTCGCGCAGTTGGTATCTTTTTGGCAAAAATGTAGTAACAGAATCAATCTATTGCTGCTTTATTAAACACTTATTCGATAGTATGCTGGAAGAAAAATGTTTGAAATCCTTTCGTCATTATTTCGATAACATTTAATCTACAGTTAAATAATATAAATGGATATCTATATGGCTCATTGTTTTTGAATCAACTGTGAAATATGATGCAGCAAGAACTGGAGAAAATTATTGAAACAAAAGGCATTCTACACAGGTCACACATATTTCTAAGTGAAGCAGACACCCAGTCTGACTGGACAAAGTTCAATTCGAATTTGCATACCGCTATATTCGATAGTCGTGTTGGAGTCTAATACAATTTCAAAACTTCAGTAACTCATAACTAATGAATTT